TGTTGCACCGTAGGCAACTCCGAGGTCGTGATCTTCATCGCAGCCGAGTGGTACGAGGGCGAGGGTGGCCCCGGCGAACACATCAGCCACATTGCCCACAAGGACGCTCAGGGTATGCCCGCCTTCACGGTTCACCCCTGCAGCCTGTGTTCTCTGACGTTTACGCGATGTGCACCAGGGTTCTATGAGGTGACGATCGACGACAGGTTCCAGTACGGACAGAAGAACAAGAATGGCGACGCACGCTTCGTCGTCTACCATGACAAGGGCCGCAAGCAGTATCAGGTATGTCCAGCGCCTCGGGTAATCCGTGCTCGTCTGATGACAATGATGCAGCACCGGTTCATCGAGAGTGGCCTGACGTCTGTTGGGACTGAGGTTGCGGTGAAGATTGCAGGTGTTTTCGGGTACGGCGCTGAGGCCAACATTGCTAAGGTTGTTGGAGAGGGTATGCTTGGTGATTACCTTCACACGTTCTGAGATGGTCGTGTTCTACACCTTCCTCCGGCGTGACAGTGACCAGTAGTTTCGCGAACGGTGTATTGTGGATTTGTTACCAAAGGCTCTCGAGTGCATTTAGTCCTCTATACGTACGCTTAGAGCGCAATACTTACCGCTTTGGACTTTAAAAACTGCGCGACATTTTAATGGGCATAACATTTTTTGTTTCCCCTTGATTCGCTGTAGGTACGGCTCGTACGGCGGAATATCCTGACGGGCGCGGGCGCTCTACCTTCCTTTCCGGGCACCTGCTGAGTTTGAAATCTCGTCCTTCACTTCCCCCTCGAGTCCTTCCAGTCGCTGTGTATATTATATGACAAGGCGGCTGGTGTTGACACTACCATATTAACGATAGCAGCCTGTAAGCCGGTAGTAAAGTACGCGGTCCGTTTGACGCAAGAGGTGCACTTTACCCCGAATGACCCAGAGCTTGTTTGGATAATGTGCGTCCATACTATCACGTACCTCCGTGCTTTCAAGTTGCTGAATCCTGTGAGCAGGTGTTACCCAGCGGTGGGAATCCGCTGTTGTGGGTATCGTGCTACAATCAGTTGCAATGCGCACGGATGATGGCAAGCCCTTCCTCCTCAACTTGCCCTGTCGTATACTAAACCGCATCACAGGTGCCGTTGGACTACGCCGTACCAGATGGCCCCAAGGCTGGGATCTCGCTTATCACAATCCCGTCGAAGTTCTCCCCTGGCGACGAAACTACAGAGGCCCAATCCTCTTTAATCCCGGTACGCAACCATGCCTTCGCATCGCATTGAGCTTCTCATAGAAAATGCGCTCCACAGGTGGCCCCGGAGGCTCCGGCATCGCTCTCGCCCTCAGTCTAGGTGCAAAGTTCCAGAAGCTCGCCAGCGACGAATATGATATCGTTGGCCACGACCCACGGCGTGTCTCTCCCGTACTTCTCGTCTTAACCCCTGTCTAACGCGTAACAGTGGTGTCTCGCGCACGGTACCGCTCGTCGCCGTCTTCAATGGTAGCACCGAGGATGCAGCGCGGCGCGTGCGCGCGCTGGAAGACCCCGTGCCGATCACGGCCGCGGACGGCGTGCCGCGCCTGTAACCCAAGGCGCAGGTGTTCGAGAGCGTCGCGAACCAGACGGCGTGCGGATCAGTACCGCATGTGGTCACATGGATATGACAAGCTGCAATACTCGGAATTTTGTAAGTTATGGCGCCTGTTGGGGCCCTTCGAATAGCTAACGTGGGCTGTTAGCTACGGAGCTATCCTTGGCGCGACGTACGTTTCTCACGCGTCTTCTTGTTGGCGTAGTAGTGACTGACACTGTGACCTGTGTCGCTGTCAAATTTGCTGCTATGTTCCCCGTAAGTAGCTACTCAAAAATTGGGAAGCGACTGTCTGCTCGCCGACGTATGTCCAGAACCATGTAGAAGGACTGGTCATCGACGGTGCAATATCCTACATTCTGAAGGGATTGATCTTAACTGACTGCTGTTATAGGTGTCGCGGATGCCGAGGATCACTACTCTGGACTCTGGTCCAGAAGCTTACTTGTGACCGACCTGGCCTTGCGCATGATCCTCGACGCCTGCGTCGCCTTAGGCCCGCTCAGATGCGCGCCCACAGACAAGGTGCACGCTCGCTTCACAGCAATCTTCAACGGCTTTAAGGAACAATCTCTGCTGGTATACGACAACAAGGCAGGTAAGGAATACTGCCTGATGGGCTATAAGCTTGCGCAGAGGGCGCTCTTCATGCTGCTCCACTCACCACACGGTGGCATGACGACTGGGAAAGCAAATTACCGAGCATGGACCTCCTGCATGCGCTCGCGCAGGTTGAGAAGGGCGACGAGCTACCGCTCGCACGCCTGCTCGGCATTGCGCCCGTGCATGCGCCGTTCACCCGCGAGTGCTCTGACAGCTCGCGCTCGCTGCCAGACTACATCACGGCCGACGCAGTCTTCGCGATTGCGTGCGCGGATTCCGGTCCGGCGCGCACCGTGGACACGGTCGAGGACCTCGAAGAGCACTTCGTGTGCACCGCCAAGGCTATTTCAGAGAGGGAAGCCGCCGAAGGAAAACCCGGACTTTCGAGCTTTTTGTTTTGAGCACAGTTTGCGTCCTTGAATGCGCCCTCGGCCGCTCTCTCACGCCTCTCTTCCCTATACAATATTGTGAAATAGGGGCTGCGGGTAATGGTCAGTCGAATGTGACATGTGACGGTCGACCACCAGTCGGGCACACCTTGCGGAGCGGCGAGTTTGACGGTGACCTGCGACACCGGCCGGTAATATGACGGCCAAACTGTGGTGGCGGCCTAGGCGTGACAATACAGAGCGGCAACACAGACAAGAACGGCCCTAGCACCACGGAAGGCGCTAGCGAGCTCCTATCCCTTCCGGCTGTTCAAATACCGTCTACAGTCAGGAGGGCCCCTATCAGATATATCCGCTGCCGACAGAATACACAGCTGCACGGATGAGACTGTGGTGACAGTATCTGGGAGATATTGAACATCACGCGGGCGCGATTTCGGTCATTCGAGAATCTGATCGTTGAGCGTTGGTTTTTGTCTGACCATGTCATACAAGTCTCAAGATACTCCGCATCCGAGAATCTGACCATATTCTCTACACCCAAGAATCGTGAGTCCGCCCGTCAGAAATTCTGCGCCTAAGACTTGTGCAAATGAGTTTTTGTGCTCGCAGCACTGAACTGTGGGGAACTAGGCATGTCACTTCAGAGGCTCTTCACCACGACGCGAGCACATGTGTACGCGAGCTTGACAGCCGTGTTGATTTCAACCTACGTCCATGCCCGCCAGTATCCTGAGTGTATCGAACGCGTCTTTATGTCGAAACCGCGCAAATCC